CCAGTGGCTCGACCATTGTGCCACATTGTTTCCTTGTCCCCCAATTTTCGGTCCGAACACAATTGTCCCTGCGTGCTAAGGTGCTGCAAAGCTAGAGCTAGTAGTAGCTCATACGTAGTTTGTAATCACAGTTATAAGTTGTAACGTAACGTATTCCGATACGTTCTACTCTATTGTACGTCCGCTCTCGTACAAGGTTATCTCTGCTCACTTGTCGTGTATTGAGTTCCATTATTAGGAGGTTACTATCCCTACAATGTGCAATACTGCGCAAGCCAGTAGTGGCGAGCGCGACCTTGATAGAGTTAGCGCTCGCCCCACGAGCTATAACCAATCGATTACGACTGAGGAGTTGACTCTGCTTATCTACTCATGATGTACTGTCGTAGTTGCAATGATGATCAAATCAATTATCAGCTACTAGAGCTGAACTTTCATGTTGATAAATCTCTATCTTACTGAGAAGGGCAGTATATGCCAGAACTGGATAGGCCCGAAACTACATCTATTTCGCTTGGCTTTCGCTTATTCCGCAAGTGATGATAAGGTGTTCAATGTATTGTATGTGATAGTATTGTTATCAGCCTATCAACTCCCACCCGTATCACTATATTGGCATAGCATAATAGCTAGCCTAGACTTTAGCACAGCTTGTAGGATATTGTGCAATAGGGACGTCTGTGGAGGGTCAGGAGTAGAGGAAAACAAGGTCCTAGTCATTAGTAACCCACTCGTCACAGTTCTCCATGATGGGAGACTCCATCGTCAGCCACTAGGTGATACATTATTCAGTCGATCTATTTGGCTGGTAACGTCTAGGACGTCAGTGACGTTCATTTTACTATGACTCTCGAGGAGACAGGCGACTGTGATCTCACACGGTCTCGGGTTTGCGTTCGAAACACTCTCATCGCGTCGTGAAACTTTTTGTGTATGGAGATTGCAAAGTTGTCGTTGACGAAGCAAGGCAAGAATTCAAATACTTTCTTGACCCAAGATGGCTACAGTCGTGTTACGAGTACTATACTACTATGAGGCGAGTAATAGAAAGCACACAAGAGGCAAAGTAATCGCTACAGAGTGTATGTAATGCTAATCTTATGTTGTCCGTTGGGCAGGTCTTCACGGGTTGACATGCGTACTACGGCTCAGATCCTCAAGAGTTGGATGAAGATCTCACTTGGTCGTATTCAGTGGAGTTTCACGACCCGTTTTACGTGAAGTGGCGTAAAACTCCGTGAAAAACGCGATATTGGCGGTGATATGCAGTAGTCGTGGAATATGTTTCTCACTAGTGTTTTTCATATCACTAGGGTGGTGAAACTCCAGTGACGACTGACTGACTGAGTGAGTGACGTTTTATTATTATGATGGGCGTGCCGCAGTGATCTGAGAACGCCGTGGCGTGGTACGATAATCTGATTTCGGACTTAAAATCCTAGAATCGGATCTGAATTCCAAAATTGATTCAACGAGCATTGTGGCGCATTACTGCCTACTTGTGTGTTTTCTCGTCCATAATGGGCGATGGTCGGCTTTAGTATCAATAGAAAGAAGTGCTTGTGTTGGCAGTTATTGTGGAAGGGGTGGTATTGGATTATTTGTGATGCAATTTTTTGCGGGGAAATTTCAAAAATTTGTGATTTTTTCTGCTGTTAAGATACGAACTGTAAATATTTGAAAATTAGGAAAATTCTAATTGTCATAGTTTTGTGGAAAAAATGAAGGTATTTTAGTGTCTAATTTCACAATTTTTCCATCAAAAAATCATATCGCTGTCCCAAAAGTTTAAACAATTTGGGATTAACGCAAAATACAAGACTTTGTGGAAGCTTTTTTAACATAATAAAATTTATTATGTTAAAAAAGCTTCATTATTAAATAAATTTTCAATAGGTTTCATTTATTTAACATAATAAATGAATATATAAAGGCCCCTAGCGCTGAGATTCGCGTAGAGCTAGTAAATGTCATTTGTATCTAAACAGGGTGACGAGAACACACAATGCTCAACAACTCCTTTTGCATGAAAATGGATGACAATCACTATAGTCGTCATATTGCGTATTTGTGAGATTCTATTTCTACATCATGAAACCCACTTCACACGATGGTCGAGGTGAATCTGAGGACGATCGTTCGGGGAGCGAAAAAAGGAGGATTAGATTTGATAACAACACTGAAGGGTAAGAGTAGTTGCCGCCCCGTCGAGAATTTATGGAGAATTTCAAATTCATAATTTATTTTTTTATGTGGAAATTTTCCGATGTTTATGACATTGAAATTGATTTTTATGTAAATAGTGAGATTATATTTTTTCATTTAGCATCATTTCTTTCACCAGGCTTATGAGTATGGCTGCGAACTCAGCAGCAGCTCCGAAATGAATAACCGAGCCTTGATATATGTACAGGAACTAATTCACAAGTATATTATATTCATTGAATAGTTGTATGGTATGGTGGAGTTTTCACCCGTTTCACGTGAAGTTGCGTAATACTCTCTGTAGATTATAGGGCGTATATGTTTCCGCGACCGATAACATACTTGTTTTCAGCGGAGAGAATTGTGAAATATGTTTTTCATATCACTAGGGTGGAACTCCAGTAAAGACACCCCATATAGAAATACCAAATATCGGAGTTTTTCACCCGTTTTACGTGAAGTGGCGTAAAACTCTGTGAAGAACACGATATTCGCGGTGATATGCAGTGGTCGTGAAATATATTTCCACGGCTTATGTTTTTCATATCACTAGGGTGAAACTCCATTTCATTATATTATAGTCATACCATTAATACTTGATCTCGTTGAACGTTTTTTGTCAACAACCAAACTCGAGTAAGTAAAATATTTTCTTTGCATTTTTCCCGCATTATTTTCGAGAAATTTAATATTTTCTTATTTTTAGTCTTTCTTTTTTACCGCACGGTTTTGAAATTTTTGATTTTCGAACCATATCGGGAATGCTCCTTTGGGAATGCTCCTTTGGGTATGCTCTTTCGAGAATGCTCCTATGGAAAGCTTATCTATTGATAATAGCATAGTTTGATACTATTGATATGATTTCTATGGTTGTCACAGTTGTTGCGTTTGCATAGTGAACTAGCTGGAACCGACTCACGATCGATACGAATGCCTTACACACAGCTAATTTTAGCTTGTCGACTCTAGTCAAAGAACATACCTTTGCGCTTATGCCTACGAACATGTGCAAGTAAACATAATTTTGTTAAAAGCACACATAGCTATTCATACAGTTCGTGAGCATATGACTATGAGATTAATGATGTTCATAAGTTACGATCCATAATTGA